ACTTTTTGGAAAATGCATCCCTCCTTGGTGGAAATGGGGGTCAAAAATTTGGTGGGTGACGTTTCGCCCTCAAATTTATTTCCAAGTATCTATATGAAAATTCATTTGAGACGTGTTTTTCACTTTTCGCAGAATTCAAACTTCTTCGGGGAGAATGCGATTCAAAGATTTTTTGGGCGAAGTTTTAAGTTGTGTCCGATTTGCTTCAAACTTATTTTCAAAGCTCTACATAAGAACTTAATAAATACGTATTTCAGCGATTTGGGAAATTCCACCCGCAAGAGTGGTAAATTGGCGGAAAACGGTTGTATGAAAGTTTTTTGTTAACGATCCGATCGGCCTCAAACTTATTTTCAAAGATCTTTGTTCAAATTCATTTGAGGGGTGTTTCACACTTTTCGAAAAATCCGTTCCTCCTTGGTGGAAATGGAGGTCAAAGACTTGGTGGGTGACGTTTCGCTCTCAAATTCGTTTCCAAAGGTCTATAAGAAAAATCATTTGAGACGTGTTTCACACTTTTCGCAGAATCAAAACTTTTTCGGGTGGAATGCGACTCAAAGATATTTTGTGCGAAGTTTATAGTTGTGTCCGATTTGCTTTAAGCTTATTTTCAAAGCTCTCCATAAGAACTTAATGAATACGTATTTCAGCGATTTGGGAAATTCCACCCGCAGGAGTGGTAAATTGGCGGAAAACGGTTGTATGAAAGTTTTTTGTTTACCATCCGATCGGCCCCAAACTCATTTTCAAAGATCTATGTTCAAATTCATTTGAGGGGTGTTTCACACTTTTTGAAAAATCCATCCCTCCTTGGTGCAAATGGGGGTCGAAGATTTGGTGGATGACGTTTTGTGTTCAAATTTATTTCTAAAGATCTATAAGAAAAATCATTTGAGACATTTTTCGCAACATCTAAACTACTTCGGTGGAAAATGCATTTCAATGTTTTTTTTGGTGAATTTTAAGTTTGTTTGATTCCCGTCCAATCAGTTTAAAAATCATTTTCAAAGCTTTTTGAAAACATTGATTTTATAACATACGTGCCACGGGCAAGGCCGGGTTATACCCGCTAGTATGTGTATATGTATGTGTATATGTTATTTTTTGAATGTATCTGTAGAAGGAAGCTAGAATGTTTGTGTTGCCTGCGTGCAGTACCTAATCCGAAAAAATATATACATTAACCCCAGTGACGGTAGCCCGAAAATCGTTGGAGGTGATCAAAGCCTAAGTTGGTAAATACCTGACTAAAGTAACATCAAAGACATCTTGAAGATGCTCTGGTGATCTCGAACAAGTCCGACAACATTAAAACTAACAATAATCTCTATGTTTAGGCTGAAACCGCAAAATACAAAAGTTACCCTTTATTTTTCCGGCTCCACTACGAGTAACTAAATGTATCGATAAACAAACTTCAGCTGAACCACCGACCATGATCCCCATCTCGAATCGAAGTAGCCCCAGGCCATTGAAAAAGCTGAGAACACGAACTTTGAAGATGGACTGGATAGGCTCCTGTGCAAAGTAATATCAAAACTCTCTATTTTAACTTGTGACCTATGACCTGTCGACAAATAACGTCAAATCAGCTCCCAATCTATTCTTTAAACGAGAAAGAAGTGCTATCTTCGGCACACCGAAGATTTAATACCCTTGCAGACCCAACCTTTTCAAAATGCTCATAGTGCTTTGCCCGTATCTAAGAAGCACAGGGAAAATAGTTAATGCCGAGTATGGTTAAGATATCTTGAAAAACAAAACAGGTTTCCATACAACAACTTAATTTTCGACCGATCGTTCCTATGGCAGCTATATGATATAGTTGCCCGATGTGAATAAGATTTTGCATAAGTGGAGGGAGCATAGTAAAACTAATAAATGCCGAGTTTGGTCAAGATATCTTGAAAAACAAAAAAATTCCATACAACAGCATAATTTTCGACTGATCGTTCCTATGGCAGCTATATGATATAGTTGTCCGATCTTAATAGAATTTTGCATATATATGGGGACCGTAGTAAAACTAATAAATACCGAGTTTGGTCAAGATATCTTGAAAAACATAAAAATGTTCCATACAAAAACTTAATTTTCGACCGATCGTTCCTATGGCAGCTATATGATATAGTTGCCCGATCTTAATAGGATTTTGCATATATATGGGGAGCGTAGTAAAACTAATAAATACAAAGTTTAGTCAAGATAACTTTATAAACAAAAATGTTTTTCATACAAGAACCTACTTTTCGACCGATCGTTCCTATGGCAGCTATATGATATAGTGGTCCGATCCAGCTGGTTTTGACATATGAGCTGCGTGCAACAGAAAGAGGGAATTCTGCAAAGTTTCATAAAGATAGCCTTAAAACTGAGAGACTAGTTCGCATAGAAACAGACAGACGGACAGACGGACAGACGGACATGGCTATATCAACTCGCCTGTTGATACTGATCAAGAATATATATACTTTATGGGGTCGGAGATGTCTCCTTCTATGCGTTACACATTTCACGACAAAATTATAATACCCTCTGCAAGGGTATAAAAAGGCGATAGCAAGTAGTGCATTTCGAATCCAATTGAGAGAACTTTTTTAAAACTAATTTTATTACTGCTAAAGTAAACGAGCTTCGAGCACGGGCTGCATTTAAAGTTGGTAGAAGAGGGTTTAGGGTATCCCCTAGTGGGGTACTTCCGACTAAGCCCTCATACTTGTTTATTCTTTATGAGGGTTTGATACGCTTACCATATGATATAAACTTAACAAGTAAGAGGTTCTAGTCGGGAGCTCCCAACTAGGGGATACCCTGAACCCTCTTCTTCCAACAGGCGATAGGTATAAAATGAAAGATACTTGATATATATATACTAATAGCGGGTATAACCCGGCCTTTCCCGTGGCACGTATGTTATAAAATCAATGTTTTCAAAAAGCTTTGAAAATGATTTTGGAACTGATCGGACGGGAATCAAACAAACTTAAAATTCACCAAAAAAATCTTTGAAATGCATTTTCCACCGAAGGAGTTTAGATTTTGCGAAAAATGTGAAACACGTCTCACATGATTTTTCTTATAGATCTTTGGAAATAAATTTGAACACAAAACGTCATCCACCAAATCTTCGACCCCCATTTGCACCAAGGAGGGATGGATTTTTCAAAAAGTGTGAAACACCCCTCAAATGAATTTGAACATAGATCTTTGAAAATAAGTTTGGGGCCGATCGGATCGTAAACAAAAAACTTTCATACAACCGTGTTCCGCCAATTTACCACTCCTGCGGGTGGAATTTCCCAAATCGCTGAAATACGTATTCATTAAGTTCTTATGGAGAGCTTTGCAAATAAGCTTAAAGCAAATCGGACACAACTATAAACTTCGCACAAAATATCTTTGAGTCGCATTCCACCCGAAAAAGTTTGAATTCTGCGAAAAGTGTGAAACACGTCTCAAATGATTTTTCTTATAGATCTTTGAAAACGAATTTGAGCGCGAAACGTCACCCACCAAATCTTTGACCTCCATTTCCACCAAGGAGGAACGGATTTTTCGAAAAGTGTGAAACACCCCTCAAATGAATTTGAACAATGATCTTTGAATATAAGTTTGAGGCCGATCGGATCGTTAACAAAAAACTTTCATACAATCGTTTTCCGCCAATTTACCACTCTTGCGGGTGGAATTTCCCAAATCGCTGAAATACGTATTTATTAAGTTCTTATGTAGAGCTTTGAAAATAAGTTTGAAGCAAATCGGACACAACTTAAAACTTCGCCCAAAAAATCTTTGAATCGCATTCCCCCCGAAGAAGTTTGAATTCTGCGAAAAGTGAAAAACACGTCTCAAATGAATTTTTATATAGATACTTGGAAATAAATTTGAGGGCGAAACATCACCCACCAAATTTTTGACCCCCCTTTCCACCAAGGAGGGATGTATTTTCCAAAAAGTGCGAAACACCCCTCAAATGAATTTGAACCTTTGAAAATAAATTTGAGGCCGATCGGATGGTAAACCAAAAAGTTACATACAAACGTTTTTCGCGATTTTTCCACACTTGCGAGTAGAATTTCCCGAAACCCCGTCTTAACGTGCACCTACATCACATAAGGTAACTACAGTGAAAATTTCAGCTTCCTAGCTCTTACGGCTTGGGCTGTGCGTTGATCACCAATCAGTCAGTCAGTCAGTCAGTCAGGATAATCAGTTTTATATATAGAGATTCTAGAAGCTACATGTCAAGTTTGGTGACTCTAGCTCATATTATTTATCAAAATTGCCCATAAACAGGATTTCGATATCGATTTTTAGCGATTACTTTGAAACGGAGCAAGTTATCGAATATCGGACGGACGGACAGACAGACGGACATGGCTAGATCGACTCGGCTATTGATGCTGATCAAGAATATATATACTTTATGGGATCGGAGAGACTTCCTTCTGCCTGTTACATACATTTGCACAAATACATTACACCCTGTTTACCCATTTTTATTGGGTTCAGGTTATACAAAGTAAAGCGTGCATAGTACTGAACTTTGATAAAATCGATGTTGGATCATTGACCTTGTAGTTATTTTTCTTAAAAAACCATGTGATCCTTTTTTTTTTAAATCTTAAAATTCTAATTGTAATTTTATTTATTTAACAAAAAAAAGCCCTTACCAGGTATATGAGACTCCTCGTATATGTCGTCAATTATGTAATCTAAACGAGATCCTACATTAAAAATGTGGGGGTTATCGATTTTATACTCCTTGAATATTGATTTGAAAAAGAGAAACATGAAATTAATAATTTTTTTTACAGAAACTGAAATAACAATATGCATGGTTTCTCCTGTTAATTTGTTATATACTTCTTAAGTTTATATTAGGTTAATAATAAATATATAATGCGTGTTAATCCTAAACATATTAAATAAAATAAATACAATTAATTATTTTGAAATAAACATTAAAATTTAAGAACTCTTGATAATCGAAGGAATTGCAGAAAAAAAGTATTTTTCGTAAATCAAAAATGCCGGCCAGTTTGTGGTTGCACATAAATAGAAAAACAAACTTATATAATAACAATCTATGGTCTGACTTTACTAGCCAGGTTAGAAGTCACTCATACCTTTATTGGTGCGGTAGAAAACAGGACGATTGTTGCGCGGTTGAAGTTCGCGATAGTTATTTCGTATAGGATTTCCATTTGAGTCTTGAAGATGCCATAATTTATGTATATCTGAAAACGGTATGGGCAAAGGCCGAACAAACACCGTCCAAATAACAGCCTCGTTGCAACCAGGCGTGGTCAACGAACCCTTGTAGGTGTAAAATTCGCGCGTATTCAAATCACCCAATAACTGGCCGAGGGTAAGAGACTCGAGCAGCTCAGCCTCGCTATGATATTCGACTACGTTTGGGAGTGCAGTAAATATTTTTTTTAGGCCAGGATACACGCGATCTGGATTCTTTAAATATAACATGTAAATTGTTGATTTTATAAAGGTTACCGTTAGAAACTCACTTTGACTATCTTAAACATAATTCCCAGTACCGCTATGCCATCGTCGTGATTTACAGCTTCAGCGATGTTCATATAGCGCACATTTCGATGCACAATATGCATTTCCACATCATGGCGTGTCCTATCTATCAAATGCTCAGCTCCACGTGATACAGGCGATCCCCAATGGAAATGGACGCCATCGGCTACATATTGCCCCTTGAGTAGCCCTCCTGTAATGAAAGGCTTCCTTCCATTGCTTGTTGCCGGTATGGCCATTTCAACTGCATCGCAGCACCCAATTAGCCATTGAAACTTATTATTTATATATATTTATACAAAAAAATATATTTTTTTTATAATTATAAACTGTTCAACCTACCCGTGTATCCTTTGTTAATCAATGTCAGCGGACTATTGAGCCTTTCGTCATAATTTCCAAAGAAAATTCGTGGTAGCGGAACGATGAGTGACTAGTTATAAAAGCCATGTCATTAAAACAAGTATGTATCTCCCACCATACACCATACATACAATCTCTTCCAATTTGTACAGATAAGGCTAATAGGGAAAAGTAGCGCAAAATTGTGTACAATTTGAAGCAAATTGGGCCATTCGGAAGCAATCTCTTCAAATGCACCAGCGCACCATTTATTAAATTAGCTGTCAGCGTTTGTAACGGAAGCAACAGATATTATGTGCTGTAATATATTACACTGTAATATATTACCGTCTGTGTATTTAAACGCATTTCGTAATCAAATTAAATTTTATGGATTGCAGATTTGCTTTGGGTATGATCATCGAATTGGTATTTAAGTATTAAATATGAAACCCTTATCATAAGTGAAGACCTTCACAAGTAAGAATATTCTATTGGTATGCAACCGAGTGCCAAGAACTCTATCCAATGGGCAATAAAGCTCAAAATTTAAGTTTGGAGAGTGTGAAACCCATTGAAAATGGGTAAAAAGGGTATAATGTTGTTTGCCAAAGCCAGAAGGAAGCATCTCCGACCCCATAAAGTAAATATTGATCAGCATCAATAGCCGATTTGTTCGTCCGTCTATATGTATGAAAGCGTCGATCTCAGAATCGAAAACAGCTAGAGACTTGCGCAGTACGAGTTTATCTTATCGTTTTATAGCGACCGCCCCCGCCCCTCTCCCACCTCCTCTAGCGCGATCTGCATTTGGTGTTGGAAGATGAAATTTTAAGGTATCCCCTAGTCGGACACTCCCGTATAATGTGCTCTTATTCGATTTGTAAAAGTGTTCATGCGAAAAACTTTTTGATAAATATTTAGAGGCCTTCAATAACTCAAAATGTATGGGAGAGACGGAAAGCATGGCGGACATTGCACAAAGCCAATATACAGCCAATATTCAATGTGCAATCAGACAATAAAAGTATTAAATTCTCAGGATTCTTATAAATTTACTTACACTATCCACTGATAGTTTAATAGGTGTCTGTCTGAGGCCCGTCGCGCATGTGCCTTCCCAATCTGCACCGTTTTGGACAAAGTTCCAGTCTGCATTGGGTAGGCTACCATCTTCTGAAAAATGTTAGGAGTGTTTCAAAAACGAACCGTTGAATTCATTAGTTTTCACTTTCTTGCAGCCCCTAAATGGGGCTTGTCATAATAATTTATTGTTTTATTTTTTTGTTTTTTAAAATTAATTTCAACGAATATTCAAGTATTATAATTTAATACCTAATCCCTTTTTGACACTCTACAAGAGTGCTTTCCGTCTATTACCATTTATTGGAGGCTGATATGCAAGTGGCAGCAATAAAAACAATTTTTGGAAGAGATATGGATACATTTTATTTTATACTTTCATATTCATTTATAACTGAATAAGTTATATGTTTTATGCACTATATACATAAGCCGTACGTTCAAATTTTGTTTTTCTTTTGTCTGGAACAACGGCAGCTTTGGCTGCTGCGACTACTGGTTAAGCACAACTGAGGTGACTTTAATGTGCTCTAAAACTTTTATACCAGCGCAGCCGCAGCACTCGTCGACGGTGAATAAAACTGATTGGGAAATTTCCCAATCGGATTTAAAATGAAATGCTGAGGATGCCAGTTATTGTGAAGTTATTGTGAAAATATGATTGTATATTGCTTCTAGCTGCTCAGGAAAATAAATATGACTATCTGTCTTAACAGATCTTTAGAATTATTTAAAATGTTACTATATTCTGCAAAGCTAAAGCGGCTACTCTTTTTACTGTTATACCCTAAACCTACTGAAAATGGGCGATCTAAATATGTTCGTCTGTCCGTCCGTCCGTATGTATTAATGCGTCGATTCCAGAACATATAAGATCTAGAGACCTGAAATTTTGAAAGTTAGTCCTTCTAGTGCCCGTGCAGTTTGCTTCCGATAACTGGTAGCATGCCCCGCTTCTAAGCAATCGATAAAAAACTAAAAACAAGGATAACCCAACACAAATCGGACTTAAAATTAAGAAATCTAAGAAGCAAAGGGAAAATAGTTAATGCTTGTTAATGCTCGAGATATCTTGAAAAACAAAAAGATTTCCATTCAACTTAATTTTCGACCAATCGTTCTTATGGGATTTTATATATATGTTATACTAGCGGGTATAACCCGGCCTTGCCCGTGGCACGTATGTTATAAATATTTTAAAACTGATCGGACGGGAATCAAACAACTTTTATGCAAATCGGAAAATTCTTAAAATTCACCCAAAAAATCTTAAAAATGCATTTTCCACCGAAGGAGTTTAGATTTTGCGAGAAATGTGAAACACGTCTCTAATGATTTTTCTAATAGATCTTTGGAAATAAATTTGAACACAAAACGTCATCCACCAAATCTTCGACCCCCATTTGCACCAAGGAGGGATGGATTTTTCAAAAAGTGTGAAACACCCCTCAAATGAATTTGAATATAGATCTTTGAAAATTAGTTTGGGGCCGATCGGATGGTAAACAAAAAACTTTCATACAACCGATTTCCGCCAATTTACCACTCTTGCGGGTGGAATTTTCCAAATCGTCGAAATACGTATTCATTAAGTTCTTATTGAGAACTTCCCACGAAGAAGTTTGAATTCTGCGAAAAGTGTGAAACACGTCTCAAATGATTTTTCTAATAGATCTCTGGAAATGAATTTGAGTGCGAAACGTCACCCACCAAATCTTTGACCTCCATTTCCACCAAGGAGGAATGAGTTTTCCGAAAAGTGCGAAACACCCCTCAAATGAATTTGAACAAAGATCTTTAAAAATAAGTTTGGGGCCGATCGGATGATAAACAAAAAACTTTCATACAACCTTTTTCCGCCAATTTACCACTGTTGCGGGTGGAATTTTCCAAATCGCTGAAATAGGTACTTATTAAGTTCTTATGAAAAGCTTTAAAAATAAGTTTGAAGCAAATCGGACACAACTTAAAACTTCGCCCAAAAAATCTTTGAATCGCATTCCCCCCGAAGAAGTTTGAATTCTGCGAAAAGTGAGAAACACGTCTCAAATGAATTTTCATATAGATCACTGGAAATGAATTTCAGCGCGAAACGTCACCCACCAAATCTTTGACCTCCATTTCCACCAAGGAGGAATGAGTTTTCCGAAAGTGCGAAACACCCCTCAAATGAATTTGAACAAAGATCTTTAAAAATAAGTTTGGCAGATCGGATGGTAAACAAAAAAGTTACATACAAACGTTTTTCGCGATTTTTCCACACTTGTGAGTGGAATTTCCCGAAACCCCGTCTTAACGTGCACCTACATCACATAAGGTAACTACAGTGAAAATTTCAGCTTCCTAGCTCTTACGGTTTGGGCTGTGCGTTGATCACCAATCAGTCAGTCAGTCAGGACAAACAGTTTTATATATAGAGATGAGACGCATAGTAAAACTCCAAACTTCAAAAGTAAGTACTTGTGTTAAAGACTTTTTTATTTATCAAGATATGCTCCTCATATATATACCAAATCCTATCAACGTTGGACCACTGTATCATATAGCTGTCATAGGAACGATCGAAAAGAAGGTTCTGGTATGGAAATCTTATTATTTACTAAGATAACTTTACCAAAGTCAGGATTAATTAGTGACGAGCTGTACAATGGTATAAAATCTTCCTCAACGGTAAATCAAATAAACAAAAATAAAAATTGACAATTGGTGCTAAGTATATTTGAATCGGCGACTGGCTGCATTATAAACCGATGTTCCCTGACTTCACGTTGGCAAAGCACAATTGAAGTGCTTTTTTTAATGTTTTGTGCTTTTAATTTTAAATATAAATATAAAATATATATATATAATATATTACCCATTCGTAGACAGTTTAAATTTACTCGTACAATCTTGAACTCAACATCTAAAGTCATATTTTACATAGATAGTTGAAAATAAAATTAAAGTTCATGGAACAATTTTTTCCGCCCATGTTATTCTTCCCCAAAGAGTAGATTTTTAACTCTACCTTTTCTACATCTGCGCCTACACTAAACAGATAAAGATACATGTAATACTTAACTGTCAACGTTTTACCGAAATAGTTTAATTATTACCCAAAAAGTGGGCTGATTTTAAATAAAAATAATAATAATGTCAAAACAGTTAGTCTTGTGGTAAGAATATTGAAGCCGAAAAATAATCTTTCATTCATTGACCCGCTTAGTCCAACCAAAAGCGGTTAATTTTGAGAAAAACTTTTCAAAAAAACTATCACAAACATCTTTGAAAATTTTTTTTGTAGCCGATTTGGCGGTAAACAAAAAAGTTTAAAATTGTCTACCAATTTACTCCAGTTACGGGTGTAATTTATTACTTATGTGCTTTTTTTAAAAAAAAATGTTATAGGCGACCGAACAATATATCTTTGACCCGCATTAGGGTCAAGGCCCGAGGAGGCCTGCATGTAATAAAAGTGTGAAACACGCTTAAAGCACGCTTAAAGCAACGCTTTGCAAGCGTTGTCCGCCAATTGACCAGATTTGCGGATGGATCACCAGTTTTCTCTAATTTTTACCGCCACTTTTTCTTCAAAAGGTATCTGTAGCAAACAAAAAAGAACAAACATTTTACCAGGGAAAAACAGTTGCATTATAAGCTTTCAATGATAGGGTGGCGTTCACAGTGAGTGGAATCAGAAGGGGAGACCCAGTAGATGGCTTCTGCGCAGCGTCGCACTGTGAGGCTGTTTTCTAATAGTTCTGTGGCCAATATCATGGCCACGGTTGGTATATGTAAGTCTTTACATATCGAGTGGGCACAGGCAATGCAGCGATTTGCTATAGATATTCAATATTCGAGATTGAAGTGGCGCCTCAGAGCTGAATTTCATACGACTACATATCTTTGATAATGGCTTTATTATTAAGGAGCTTATTCTTGAGAGTAAGCTGCGATCTGATTTTCAACATCAAGGCTAACTGCTTTTGTTTAAGCGTTAATCCTTGTGATGTCCGCTTTCCTAGTCAGCCTCCTGTCCAATGTCAAGCCGAGGTACTTGATTGTAGGCTTCGTGTGTATAAGGGACCCATTAATAGTGACTGGTGGACAGTTCAGCTTCCTTAGGGAAAAAGTGGTGTCAGCGGATTTGTTGATGTTCCATTATTTTAAAGATATATTAACCATAATTAGATATACATTAATACTATATTTAAATTTCCTTTCTAAAACCAAAAACATCATCAATTTAACAATCAATTCTTGATATATGCCTTCTTAGTCTATATAACACCACGTTAAACGATCACTGTTGAGTCCAACCCAAGCTGAGCTCAACTGCTGTTTAACTGTAATACCGTCTACAATGCCAATCGCAGTGTTACATAATGAAACAAATTATATTTGTCGCCGTTAGAGTTCCGTGGCAAAGTAGATAAGTTTGTTTGGTCAGAAATCCCCCACTGCATGTGAAATGAATTCGAACTGCCGTTCCATGCTGCCATCCACATCCAGCGTGTCATCTATAAAGTGCATTTCGACATGCTCCTGAAATGCCTTAAAGGAAACTTGGCTAGAGTATAGTTTGCCGCACATGGGGCACGTCTTGTCTATGGTGTCAGCCTTAAGCTTTTCTTGTATGGTATTGAAGTGGGGCGAGAGCAAGAGCGATGTGTTTGCATGCCCGTTAAATGTTTCGACTACTTGGCCTGTTGCGTTCACGTTGATATTTCGTTTAGGCTCACTGCGCTCTTCCGTTTCCAAACTTTTATCTGCCATTTCAGGCCTGTTTACATTTTTCTGAGCGCACTCAGGGCAGGGATAACCCGCTGCGACAAGATAAGACAGTAAATTTACAGTTAACCTGTATAGTACATATCACGGACTTACCAATACGAGTTTCTAGTTGTCTAAGCGCGGAATTGAGCTCTTCTTGCTGCTTCATGGCTTCACGCTGCAAGTCCTGCAGGCCTTCCATGCACTGCTTAGCATCGACATTGACATCCAGGTCATTAATAGTATTTGCACCTTCTACATTCATTCCACACGGATAACCTAGTTCCACCTCGCTAGCACCAAATTCGTCTAGTGTTATCTCTTCAAGACTGACTTCACTTATCATCTTCTGACGCAAGCGTGGATTTGGCGAATGCTGAGTAAATGTTTTAGAACGAATCAGGTTTTGATTGACACCAATAGAAACTGACCCCGCGCCAACAGTATGAGACGTAATCGTTACTTCGTCGTCATTCGTTACTTGCGGCTGGTCCTTAGAGATTTTCGAAAGGTGCGACCAAAGCCTCCGATTCTCATGGGACACCATGTAAATTTGATCCTCGAGCTGCTCTTTTTGGCGTTGCAGTTCATCTAAACGGGAACGAAGCGCTATAACATCGTCACTGTAATCTATTTTTTCCTGATGACTGTTATTGGGCG